TATTCACTGCACAGTGAGTGACAAAGACAACAAAATCTATTGGGTTCAATTAATTTATTTTCAGAACTCTGTACCAGGATGTCACAATATGAAGATCAAGAGAACATTAAGTTTTGCATAGAACTGGAACATGACATCACAAAGTAATCACATGATCAGAAAAGTCCATAGGGGACAAAATAATGGGCTATCATGAACTGATAGTTTGGACATTTCAAGGTGGACAGAGGGCTGGCAATTACTAGAGGATAACCTCCAAACGCACAGGCCAATGACAGCTTGTAATGACACCACTATCCATATTCAAGAGGTCATCCACAGAACTGTATATGATGACCAACACAGTCACTAAAATCAAAGTATTGCTGATGTTAAGTTTCTCTGGAATAAATTCATAAACCAACAGCCTCACTTTTGTGATTATGGACACTGACTATTTCAAAATAACAATGCACCAGCTAATCACTCACTTTTGGCACAGCAATCAATAACTGACCAAGAATGGTATCACTGTACTTCCATCACCTCCCTACTCTGCAGATGTGGATTACTACCTGTTCCAAAGACTGAAATTCCTCTTGAAGAGAAACAGATTCCATTACAGGAAATGGCCTGCAGAAGAACTTCCAGCAGAGGTATGGCTGCCAGCAGAAGGGAACTACTTCAAACGTAGTGTTCAGTGAAGTCAGCCATAACGGAAGCTAACCTCACACAAGGAAAAGGTGGTTAACCTTTTAACTCTACCATATATACTGAGTTCATCAACTTCTAAATTTGAAAACACAGCAAAAAAACATGAAATATAGTCCACTCTGTATGAAGAATATACAAAGATGTGCATGTGTTGTCAAATCAGCAAGCAGCATTGCTTTATTAAAGGAAGAAGTGCAACAATCAATTAGTAGCCCCAAAAGCTTAACTGTAAGTTAAATGTGATGCCTGTTAAGTTATGAATACTTACACCAGCACAACATAACACACACACAGCATCATTCTCATGACCAAGACACAATTAGAGAAACGTAAAAACACAAGTTAATCATATGCTTTTTAATAACCACTGCTCATTTTCTACCCAACTAATAGCCAACCTAATGCCAGTGGTCTTCATTCGCCCATCCTTCTCAGCAAGTGTACCAAGCACAATATATTGCTATTGTACAAGTAAACATATTACAATGTATTGCCCTTCTAAGTGTTTATAAATCTAGAAAATAATTACAAAACAGTAATGACATGACAATTTATTTTAATATATATGTTAAATGCATACAATACAGCATTCCATTGTGTTCCCAACATATCAGGCAATATCTTCCTTTGTTCTTGAGCTATAAAACTGTGAATAAGTACATCAAAGATATATTATATGTATTGCTTCCAAAATTACTCCAACTTTCAAGCATACCCAAGGTTGACACATCTCTTATTTTTGTAAAGTGTCAAGTTAACATAGCAAGAACACCAAATATTCCACCAGAATGCTAGTCTTCTGGGTTGCTGTGCTGTGTAGTCTGATAGAAGATTACCATCATCAGGTGATGCCCTGATGATGGAGGAAGCAAGGACCTCTGAAATGTCAGTAAACTTCTACTAGATTACATGGCGCAACAACCCAGTAGACAGCTATCTTCAGACTCACTGCTGTGAAAACTTCAAATCTTAACTTTTCAAGTACATTATAAAAAAATCAAATTCCAGAAACTCAAAACAGCTATCATCTCTTACCAACTTGGCACAAATTAATAATACTGTTTTCCACAACTTAGATACTCATATTGTTTCAAACAACTATAATTGTTACTATCATTTACAATTATATCAAGTCTAAATGGCATACTTATTACAACCTTTATTGGTAATCATCTAGAAATGAAAAACATTGCAGAATGCATACCTGTGACTTTGGGGGAAAGCACTTGTTCAAAACATTTTGGTAAAAATCAGAGCTGCCAATTTCAGGGTAAATGTGGGTGACCTTGGAGGGAAAAAGGGGGGGGGGTTAGAAAGTCCTTATAATGATATGATTGGGTTGAGTAAAGGAGTGCCATGCTATAATGGAAAGTGACTATGTGGCTCAGAAAAAGAAGTGATCGAAAAAGCACGGTTCAGGAAAATGGGTAATGGAAAAAGTCAAGTGATCACGTAGTTCAGGGAAAGTTATGGAAGAAGCTGACAGTAACCTCATGGCTCATGAAAAGAGGTGATCAGAATAGTGGAGAGAGACATGTTGTTCTGGAAAATAGGTGATAAAAAATTTGAAAAGGTAGGATGAACTGCATTAGCAAGAAGCCAAAGAGAAAGGTGGTCTAGCAGGATGTAGGATAAAAAAATAAGTAAAAGAGTAAAAGCAAAACCATGCTCGCACTGGCTATGTCCAGTGGATGTTAATCAGAATAACAGGTAAGTATAAGGCTTGGAGAAAAAGAAGTGGGTATGTCTTCACAGTTCAGGGTGTTTTACTAACCATGGCAAGCATAGTGTTTGCTGAAATGTTGGGCACCTTCAACACTCAACATAGCTTATCCCCAAAAGCTAAAATTATACATTAAACTCTGCCTGCAAACACCTAAGAACAGGAACACTGTAGATGATGGTGTCAAAACTGCCATTAAAAATCATAATAAGCATCAGTAATTCAGTGGCAATATCTTAAAAATTAAAAGCAACATAAAACATAAAAAGAAACAAACAAAACCAAACACATTAACATAAGCATAACAGTATAAAGATACCTGTACAGACTATAGCTGCATTTTCTAAAACATCTGAAATAAGTGAAGGCCTGTACATCTTAAATGATTGTCAACACCATGAATTCACTCTAGCAGTCAAATGTCTATAACTTCATTTTTATTGAGGATGTAAAATTATAAAATCTAGTCTAGCAGTTTATGAGGGGAAAAAAGAAAAAACTGTTTCATGAAAGAAAAGCAAGCAGCATATCACTGTTACATGCCCTTAGGCATTATGTTAAAACTATAATACAAAACATAAAAAGTGTAAAAAAGAAAATACATCTATTAATAGCTCAACAATTGCAGTAGCATTGACATCAATCATATGTATGATTGGACCAATTTATATACATTAGAAAAAACTGTGACATTTATGATAAAACTTTATAAAGGATTATATTCCAAACATGAACTAGGGAGTCCACTTGAAAGAGAAACATGAACTCAACTGATGTGGTGATCCAACATTAAATGGGAAGCAAAAGAATACAAAATGTAATAAACTCAAATGTCCTTCAATATTGTTGTTTTTCTGGACTAAATCCATTGTTTAATACAGTGCTGCATGACTTCTCTACACTCGCAGCCCACCAAATATTGTTGAAGAATCATGGCGGCACACCAACCCCATTTTGATTATTGTGGGCGGAAAGTAGATGGTTTATGGCATTGATTGGCTGCAATAACTTCTTATAAATCGACCCCAACCAAAAAATGTTCTATTTGATGTTTATAATTATCCATATTTATTATTATTCCATTTATTTTAAATATATTCATTATTTCAAATAAATTAAAATATAATACTTCCTCCCATCTGATCCAAAATTTATTAACTATGTGTAAACATTTAAATTTAAAGATACTTATTTATATTTGTGCATGTAGATTGCAGAAAAATACATAAAGTGGCAATAAAAGTGGGGGGGGGGGGGAACAAATTTGCTTCAAAGTGGTTGTGTTGTTTTCCAATTCCATTTAGTAGATCTCGTGTGTCCTCAGTCTGCCTGATCATAATAAAGTAAATGAAAACTGAGACACAGCAGAAAACAAGATTAACAATTACTTATCTAATTATGGTTATATTATGCAGGAATCAAAAGTTTCAACAGTCTACCATCAAATCTCACAAGTGTTGTAAATAAGAAGGAGCAATTTAAGGTAGCATTAAAAAGATACTTAATTATACACTCCTTTTACTCTGTCAATGAATTTATGTTGTTTACAAATAA